AAAACGCCTACTTACCTTAGTCGCCATTCCCATTAACAAGTCCACCATTTGTATCAACAGAATTAGTTCAAGTCTCATCCATTAGGTCAGCATTAAGTTTATGGCTTTCATCTGGTAAACAAATTAGAATTTTTTTGCGTTACAAACCTATGACCCCATAATATTAAAAAAAAATCATATAATTTATATTTTTGGCAGCAAACCGTTACATTGTATATAAGTATGTTATGTTGAAATGCTGTATACATTGAATTGCAACTACCTAGTATAAACACAGTCATCAGTTACATAATTCAAATAACAAATAAATGTGGTTTTATTTTCCATTAAAACCAGCAAAATAAGCACTATTCCCATTCATAGAATGGACTTGAAATTCTTTTTCAGACATGGCACACAAACTATAACTTACTGTATATAACCTCTTGAATTGTATTACCTGGTATGCTTATAAAGGTTTGGCAGTCTTAAGCAATACAAAGATGGTCTATATTTCCTTGCATATACATCACTTTCTCTGAAATATTCTCCGCTGGATAACATAGTCTTTCCACACTTTCTTTAACACTTACAATATGAAGTACATTTTCAGATACAGCACCAAGTATTTCCATAGGTCTTACAACTGCAAAACACCTGTCACTCTTACTTTCCTGCACTAAGTACTGTACTGTGCTGTACTCAAATTATGTTTCTGTTCTCTTTGAATTAATAATCCATAGAAAATTCATTTCAGAACCCTTTTGTAATTCTATGGAATGAACAATGTGATCATTTACATTTACTCTCCTAGCTTTTAAAAGCAAGCAATCATCCACATTTAAGTCTATTTTTGCTGCTACATATAGCTTGTTTTATTTCTGTTGGAATTTCACTAGGGAATGTTTTACTCATAATCCTGCAATTAACAGCCTCTTTGAAATTCCCTGATCGTTTTCTAACAGTCAACATATCTTTAGTAAACTTTTTTAAGGAGTCACTTTGCATAAAATTTGCTTCAGCATGCAGTTTCTTATGAGTTAATAAATATCTTGGGAGTTGCTTACAAACTTGTCCTGTCCCATGTGTTGATCTGACTAATAACCCATTCATGTCTTCGAAAGGGAAGCATGGCCAACCCCACATGGGGCCATGCTGCCGCACATAATCTACCAGATGGCAACCAATATTGTGGACATTCATGCCACAATTACTTGTTCCATATTGGATTTCAAAAGATATGTAAAACTCTTTCAATTGTTTTCAGCTCTATCTAATTCTACTTCAGAAGGGTTTTCTGGCAAAAGAATGTATATTCCACCAATAAGGCAACACAAATTGTGGAAGTACTGTTCTGGTAAAATTCCCTTTTAACAAGGCACTGCATAAAAAAGTAACCAGTTTTCTAGTTCCAATGCTTTCCAGTGAGCAACTGTCTCTACTTTCCTTGGTAGTCTCGAAAGTGCATGCCATGAGCCTATTATTTATATCTCTAGTGTTCTTTCCAAGGTAGTAGGCCTTTTTGGAGGATTTTTTGTTGAACCATAAAGTTTTTTGGTTGTTCCTAAAAGTACTGCATGCATATAGCATCAACCATGTCAAGATAGTCTATTTCAAAAAGAACAGAAACACCTATAATACCTTTCACAGGTTTTCTTGTCTGTGATGCAATGACCTCTGAAGCATTTGACAAAACAGATTCAGTGGTTCTTGTAGGTGGAGGGTGCTGAAATGAAGGGGAATAACCTTTCTCCATGGCAGGTTCGGGACTCCATAATCAAATCTCAACTTCTCAGAAATAGATATGTCTTGAGTAGCAAAGGCACAAAGGTGTGGTTTGTTGTCAACTTCCACAATTTTCATGGCACAATTTTGCATCTTATTTAGTCATTTATCATTCTTCCTTGATAAAATATATCATCTGTTGCATTGATACTGTAAAAATGAACATATTTATAATTAGTATTTTAGTTCCGGCAATCATTATATTGTTTATTATACCTTCAATAAGCAACATTACAAGATCCATACTAAAGGAGGAAGGCATTAAGTATTTACAAATTATAATGTTCAATTACCAAGGTGGCTTTTTAAGGGCGAACATCGTAAAGACAAAATATAGATTTACAAATATACTTTCTGATGTAAATCTATTACACAGATGAATGAAATACATTATACTGTTCCAAAGGAACTAAATAACTGCAGAATGGATGAGCTTTTACCACAAGTTTTTTCCTTTGTACTTGAAAAAGTACAGAAATTACTTCCAAGATCCGCATCTGCATATTCTCCCTCACGATGTTGGGCTTCATCATAATTAATCAGGTCCCCCTTGTATTCTAAGAGAAAATCACCTCTGGAAAATTCCTGAGTTGTAAAAACATCATCTCTTGAAATCATTTTCACTGATTGAAAAGACATATTTGCTTACAAACATTGATTTTCATTATTTCTTATCATGGGTTAGGGATAGAAATTAAATTTCTTACAACATCACAAAATGTGAGAAATTACAATTTACTTGCATGGTTTGTTTTTTCCACAATATGATATTATCTTAAGTTATTTAGTTACAAAATTTAGGAACAAGAATGTCGTTCATGAATTGTTGAGCTTTTGTAAGTTGCATACGTTAGCTCAAACATAAATTATAAAATTAATGAGACAGGCATGAATGTTTTATTATCTTACCAACATAATCGTCCACCAATCTGACCTCAAAACCAGGATGGTCGCTGAAGACACTGCAATAATCTCTTGCATTTGGCCTCCCAACCCTATGATAAATATGATCTAAATTAGAACACTGTCATGATCAATTGCATTTCCATATGTTTTGTATATCTGATCATTATTGTATCTTTATGTAAAGCGGCACAACAATACTTTGCATCTGAAGCATAATAGTTTTGAACATTACTTTTATATGCTTCTGTCATCTAAAACTGCTATGATTAACCCTTGATTGAATAAAAAAAGAACAAAGCGGTTAAGATGGAAAATATGATGCTTAACTTTCTTGTAATCCCGTTTCTTCTTGCCCATTATCAAAACAAACCACAAAATTAACTGCTTCATTGCATCGTTGTCAGACTTGACAAATGCATGGACAGAAGTTGGGTAAATGGTCTGCTTACCACTTTGAATGTACCATCAATATACCAAGTCTTTGCTCCCTTATGTAGATCTAGTTGCTTATTCGTAGCAAATATGACGTGGCAGCTGTCTTGCGTGAACCAGTTTTCTGTAGAATTCTTCACAACCTAGAACGAAATACAATATATCAGTACATGTCAATCGAAAATGAATATAAAAGAACACTTTCAAACCTGGGTATGCATTATCACTATTTAGAGGTGTAATTTAAGCTTACAAGTGTTTAAAATTGGATAATTTGTAAACATTGGATAATTTATTATCGTATATAATATATAGTTAAATGTCTTAAGAACTTAGATTAATGACTATGTGTGTGAATCAATATAACTTGCCTGGAAATCACTTCCTTCCTGTTACACATCTTGAGATTTAGGGTCTGGACGATTCCAGCTCTGATCTGCGTGTTGAAGTTTGTTGGTCACTTTCCAAACGAGAATATTTTCTGAATTGTTTAGCTGTTGTTGGCAATAGCCAGACAGACAGACAGACGGACAGAGCTGAGGCTTTAGTCTCATTGATAAGTCACTTTGGGAAAATATTTCTTTATCAGAACTATTTCCTCCATACGCATCTGAACAATGAATGAGAGCACCATTTGGAGCTGTTGTGTACATAACTTTCACTGTGTGACAGTTTTTATAGTTACTAAATAGTTGCTTCCCAGGCAATGGAGCTCTCGGGACCTGGGTACTAAATTCTACACAGTCAGATATTGCAACTAAATTTGGAAAGTGTTGCTTTGTAGCAGTAGGCATGTGTTTCTGAACATTTTCATGAGAAGGCCAAAATTTGATAATTTTGAATTTTCTGTACATTCTTTTAATCCAGAATTTAAAAATTTCAGAAATACCCCCTGTGGAAATATGAAACTCAGAAGATAAAACAGAATCCATAGGGTTTCTTTTCAGTTTATACAAAACAAGCAGAAGTTGATTTTCTGTAGAAATGTGAGAAAATAATTTAGCTGGATCATCATTATGTGTTTGAATAGTGCATGTGTTATCTGCACATTTTGAAATTAGATATTTGTGAATAATTTCAAATAATTTGTAATTTTCAATACCAGTGAATTTTTTTAATTCTTTGTCACAAGTTTTCAACAATTCAATTTTCTCCATACATGCCTGGACACTTTTATTTTCAGTTGCAAACACTGTCTGTGTGGAGACAGTTCTTTGACTAATAAAAATTTTAGAAGGAAGAACTGTCTGTACATCTTTAGAAAGCCTTATTTCAGTATTACACATGGTTGAGCGTCTAGACTTTGGAGTGATTTCAGTATACACTGGAGCCGCGATATAGCGCCCATGTTGGGGTCCATGATCTCAAGACAGCGTTGTAACGAGTAACTTTTTATAACGCTCATTTTGTAATTATAGCGAAAATATCGCATTACACCACCCACCGCCGAAACATATAACGCTTGTTAGTGGAAATGATTGTTTACTTACCTTCCAATGGATATCAGTCCAAGCTTTTTTTATATATTATTATTAATTATTTTGTAAAGCATTACTGAATATCTTTAATATAAACATGAAATTTACGAATTAAAAATATAAACCACGAATGTACAATTGTTTATAAATTTCCAGTAAAACAGCGGTGTTAACGTATGTTATGTATCGTCATGAAAATTGATACCTAGTGGATGGGACTAAATTAATCGTCTTTCCTGCTGTCTCTTGTTAAAAAACCAGTCATCCTCAACAACTTTTTAGCAGATAGATCGAAAGTGCATGCTTTTTAAAATTAATTGTACGCTTGGGTGATTTACTTAACTCGTCGGTGTTTGCATGTCTTAGCTAACAGTTTGATACCTGACTGATCAACAGTTCAAAATGAACAAAAGAGCGGATTAACGCTTACCTGTTTATGACTTCACACCTTCTTATCATGAGTGACGTAATTATGACTGTTTATTGCACTCGACTGACACATTGAACAAGCGTTATAGTGGATAAGGTGCGGTATTGATATACATGAAAAAAAAATTATAATCGGCGAAAAATACGACCTTTTTTTTGGGAGCCAAGGCATATTAGCGTTCTACTGAGATTAGCGCTATACCGAAGAGCGCTATATCGCGGCTCCAGTGTACTTAGAAGCAGGTGGGGTTCTCTGAAGACCCTTTGTGCGTTGTTTCTTTTGTCCTTTAAGAGTAACCTGAGCCTCTGCTTCTATAAACAATTTTCTTTAAGATGCACCTTTTTTCAATATTTGTGGCTGTATATCACCGGGTTCTACTTCAGTAGCTATAAAAAAATTAAACAATGAATTTCAAGAAATGAAATTAAACAAATCAAATAATAAAAAAATATATGATTTTGTAATAGAATGTATGTTATACAATAAGACTGATGCAACTGTGAAATATTGCTTTTACAAACATGAAGATATAAGGAAGAGCTTTGTCCTGAAAATTTAATTTCATAGTCATTCTTGTACCGATTAAATAATGCAACAGTTTCCAAGTTTCTAAAGTATAACTTTTATACTAGTTTATTTTAAATATAATCACTTTTTTCATATACCGGTATTTTATTCCGGTGTAACAACACTAAAATTCTAGAGTTGAATGAAAACTTAAAAGTATTTTTTTCACTGAAGTATAAGTAACATGATTGTATCAGTCGAACATGTCTCTGGTACCAAATTGTGTGTGTTAGCATGACTGGTTGACGGTAAAGCTGTATCTTGTGAAACTCCTAGTTGTAAGAGTGTAGCTGCAGCTTGTTTTCTTTCATAATCTAAAATAATAAAAAAAGATTTTATGTTATTTTTTTCAATAATAATATTTTCATTTTAATATCTATTATATGCTACTAAAAATGACAATATTTGCCTAAATTCTGTTGTACAGTAAAATGCCACCTAACGACCACGCCACAAATAGGACCACGCCGCTATTACGGGCACTTTTTAAAAGGACAAAATATTTGCCTTCTTTATTCAATGAGTAAAATGACCAGTATACCGACCACGACCACGTCTCTAATCCGGCATAACGACCACTTCTGTCAAACATTTGTGTGTATTTCTTATCAAAACATTAACCTGTATTACGACCATGCAATATAATGGCCAGACATCACTTGGTGTTTATTGCCCCGTAATCTTCCATCTGGCGTAAACAAATACACCGGATCAAATGAGGTCATTAATATATATCGATTGATTAGACCTTTACGATGTATCTTTAGCATTCAAGCGTCAACATGATCAGTTTAAACCAGTTCTGGCTAAATAATCTAAGCAGCTATGGTGTGAGAAACGATTAATTTGTCCGCGTAATTAGGATGTAATAAACAGGTAAATAGCATTTAAAATTGTTTGATGTGCATTACAATTTATAGCAAGTATGGTAAAAAATTGCTAAATACACCAAATTATCAGTTCATGTGTGCTTTATTTCGATACTTAATTAATGTATACATAAATCATAATGAGAGTCATAACTATATTTATTACCTCATATTTTTTTCTAAAGGGGAAACTTAAAACACTAGCCGTAAATTAATATTTTTATTATATTAATGATGTATCATATTATCATGCATTAAAAATGTTTTTTGTTTAAAAAAAATATGTGTTTCTTTTTACTCATTTAATTAGGTACATTTACCATGTGCATAAAACTATACAAGGTATACATTAAGTTAAGTTGGACTTCGTCAGCTGTTAAAGTGACTTATTCACTATTAAGACCAGTTCACTATTAAGACCACTTTGAGTCAGTCCCGTTAGTGGTCTTAATAGAGAGAATTTACTGTATTTGCAATTTAAGTCATTTACATATAGTAATTTACTTCCACATTAAATTCAAACACATAAGAAAAACTATAAGAATAAATTTATTTCTCCTGATAAAATTCGAACTACCTTTAGCTTGTGTCTTTCACATGAGCAATGTCAATTTAATATTAAATTATTTCAAACATTTCATTTAATTACAAAAAGACTATTGAGGTTGTGGGATTCAAAAACTGTCATTTCGCCTAGGGAGTACGAAAGTGTGTGGCGCGAATCCGTGACTCAATTCGGCTTCGTTAACAAAACGTACACGGTAAAAAATACTAGTGATATGAACATTTTTCGACAAAAAAAACTAAAATAACAAACCTGGAATACTGATTGTTGGGAGAAACGGCTCATTAGATTGACGTGACGACTGAAAATGTGCTGAGCATATTCGCCATGAACGGCATTGTTTCACGGTCACTTTTGAAGCTTCTTTTTCAGTCATTCCTGCCCTGATTAACCATTCTTTACAGTTCTGTAAATTATTTACCGGTAAACGGTGAAATTTGACATTAGTCCCTCCACCCGACACGTTTTTACACCCTTTAACTATGCAGTATAACGGCATATTTCTCGAAATATTTCAACTTTGTGATAAGAATCCGCCATGTAAATTTCCTTTGTTTATTTTAATGTTACTATTATTAGTAATAGATTGTACATGCATCCATCAACATTTGATTGGTCAGTTGATTATATGCTCGGAATCTGATCGTCGCACTTCGCTAATTTGCGTGAGAAATCGTAGTGAAATGGGCTATTTGAACAAAATTGGTAGACACCCATTAGAAAATATGCCATGCTAAATATTTAGATCAAGCACATTGGGTTTTTCAAAGAGTTTTGTTTTGATTTTACTTTCTACATAAAATGAAATGGGGCGGGGCCAATTTTGAAACTAGGGCTTTTATTGGGCTTATTAAAAGATATTATAGCTTTTTCTAGGTTTCCATGGCAACAGGAGTTCTGCATGGAATTACAGTCTTTGAGCAATTTTTAAAGGTGACCACCAAAGAACATTGCTTTGAAGTTTAGATAAAATGTCTCATAGTAAAAGTTTATGTATGGACGAAGTGATCACAGAAGCTCACAATGTCACTTTGTGACAAGTGAGCTAAAAATAGTAGGACTAGTTAACATAAATAAAAACTCTAAATATGTCTAACATGAAAACAACAAGATTTTTATCACAACAAAGGTTAAACAATAATATAATACAAAGAGAGAGGCAAGTTAACTCTAGATCATTGGTCTGTCTCTAAATACCTTAGATGATTTAGATAAAACATGTAATTCATAGGCTCAAAAGTATGTCTACTAATACTTAACTTTAATTAAGGCCAACAACAGACAATGCACTGGAAAAAAGTTATAATCTATGATAGCCATGTTCATTTCTATTTCTGAAACTGTTTACATGTCTTTGATGCTCAACACTACGTATTTTTCACAATTTGGGAGTCATTTTTTTCAAGAAATTGCCATCTCTGGCACACATGATTATAATTGGCATAAGGGAGCATAGATCATTATTTGGCAAAATGTCACAGGTTAGTTTGTAATATGGACATGACAAACAGTAAACAGTAATATAGAAATAATCACAAACCAATGCAATAAAAGAAAGCTATTTGACTATTTTACACATGAATGCACAAAAGAGAGAAAGAACATTATAATATACATTTTGCTTTTAATATACATCATGTATCTATGATCTAAGAAAATAACAGTATGCTTCATAATGTAAGTTAAAAATATATTAAAACATAGAATGGCACAACATAATTTTTTTATAATTCTGTCAAAGTACAAATGTAAAATGGCACCCCCATCCAAGCATTTTGTGATGGATGGGGGGCATTATTGGATAATGGCCGGAGGCCGAAATATACAAGCATATCACTTCAGTGACCCATAGAGAACCATCGCTTTTTACAGGTCAACAAAAATGACCTGATATCACGTGACCACATAGTATATAAATTCGGACAATTCCACGTGCAATTCATAATTTAAAGCAAGTTTTATGTTGTCTTGTTTTACCAAACAAACAAGAGTTTTAAAATACCTTTTAAAACTCTAAAAAACCAACTTTATATAATTTAAAAAATTGTAAACATCATTACAAAACAAACAAGACATTGTGTTATTGAAAATTATCAGTTCACTTCTTAGTAAATACAATGTCTACGGGTTGGGAAAAATTTATAGAAGATGATTAAAGAAAAAACCACCTTCAAGGGAGGGTGCTTGTATATTTCGGCCTCCGGCCATTATCCAATAATGCCCCCCATCCATCACAAAATGCTTGGATGGGGGTGCCATTATTTTCAATGGCCTTCAGCTCTCATATACAAGCATGTTTAAAGAAAAGACAACATAAACACATATATTCTGAAAAAACACCTTTATATATTTTCTTTTCCAAATTACTTTCAATTAATATATAGAAAGTATATGAAAATACGTACAAAAAATTATCATTCAAAGAAAATCATTTTCATTACAGCATGAATGAAAAATCCACATCTCAGTCAAATCAAAATCCAAAACAACTACATTCCTCATTAGAATGACAAAAAACGTCAAGGTACACACTAGTCAGTTTTAACTATTCAAAACACATTCTTGGAAGTTATTATCATTTTCATCATTTACATCTCGCAAATAAAAAGTTTTGAAATTTTTTGAAGAAGACCAATTAGCAGTCTTTAAAATATCAGAAATTTTGCATCCTGCTTTAACTGCAGCAGAAGAAGAGGCTCCTCGAAACGAATGTGCCTTAAACTCTTTAATGTCTATACCTGCCATTGAAAGAACATTTTTAAGCCAACGAGCTAAAGTGCTGGTAGAAACAGCCTTATAGTTTTTAAATGACACAAACAACTGACTGTCTTTCCTTACTCCCTGCGTACATTTCATATAACATTTCAAAGTCCTTAATGGACATAACTCGGCTTTACTATAAGCCTTTAATTGTAAAATAAAATTTTGTCCTGGTTTACAAGATTTAAGCTTGTCCCCACAATTAAAATACACAACATTATCTTTTATACAAAAATTATCAATGTTCAAGGCTTTCAAAGTTTGAGCTCTAGCTGCTGTACATAAGGTTATCAGCGACACAAGTTTTAGAGTTAATAACTTTAATGTAAGAGAATCCAACGGCATCCATGATGAAATGAGATCAAGAACTTTTCTAACATTCCACGTTTTAAAATATCTTGGTTTTGGGGGTATTTCTTTATGTAAACCCTTCATGAATCTATTCAAAACAGATGTATTTAAAGAAGAAGCAGGATGCAATATTTTCAATGTTTCTAAAATTACAGATTTATGTAAACTAATAACACTATATGATTTATTCATGTTCTTTAAATACACTAGATAAGATATTAAGTCACTTTCAACTGGTTTAAAGGAATCACACATCCGGAGACTACACCACATATACCACTTTGTCCATGCATTCTTATATTGTTTTTGTGTTCCTGGACGCCAACTTTGAAGAACTGATATGATAGCCTTGTCCGGAATTCCTCGATTTTGTAGTTCTGTCCAGATACAATCGCTCCAATTAGCTGTAGCTTCTTGCCCATTGGATGTAACTCGTTGTTGTGAGGGAGACTCAATAAATCTTTGTGTCGTGGCAACCTGATTGGAATAGAAACAAGCAATTCTAAAAACAAAGGAAACCAAGTTTGATTTGACCACAAGGGGCATATCAATACAGCCTCATCGACCTCATCTTCCTTGATTTTGTTTAAAACCATACCAAGCAAACGAAAAGGTGGGAAAATGTATGGCTTCCATTTTGACCAATCAAGTAAAAATGCATTAGTGCAAAAAGAATCAGGATCTGGAGTCCAAGTAACATAGTTAGATAACTGTTTATTCAATCTGGAAGCAAAGAGGTCTATATTAGGTTGTATCAACTGTCCAAATAATCTCTTTACAACTGATTCTTTAAGCTTCCACTCTGTACTATCAGAAAAAATTCTTGAACTATAGTCAGCTTGTAAATTTTCAATGCCAGGCAAATGAAAAGCTGTTATAAAAATATCCCTTTTTATGCACCATTCCCATATTTGAGTTGCCAGTATGTCCATATTTTCTGACTGCATACCACCCATATTATTTATGTATGAAATTGCTGTAGTATTATCACTTTGAATAGCAACATGCACATCTCTATAATTACTAAGCCATGTCTTCAAGGCAAAGAAAATAGCCAAAAGTTCAAGGTGATTGATATGAAACAAAGATTCATTACTAGACCAACGGCCACCAGCAGACCGATTTTTATTTAAGAAAAAAGATCCATAGCCATGTCTCGACGCATCTGTCTGTATTGTTAAGGAAATGCGATCTTCCCTTATTTTCTTGCCATTTTTAACAATAATATTTTCATTCCACCACATAAGTTGTTTCCGTGCATCATTATTAATCACCATAACTGAGTCAAAACTTGATGATAAAGATTTCAAAGCTTGAACCTTACATCGTTCTAGTGTTCTATAGTGAAGAGGTCCTTCAAAAATTGCAAAAAATGTGCTAATAATAAGACCAATAAAAGATGCTAATTCTCTTACTTTAATTTGTTTTTTAGATAAAAGTTGTTGAGCAAAAAATTTCACTTTATCTATTTTACTCTTGGGCAGAAAAACCTTGAAAAGCACAGAATCAATTATATATCCAAAATAAGTTATTCTTTGTGTTGGAATTTTAACTGACTTTTCTTCATTTATAAGAAAACCAAGAGATTCTAACTTCTTATTCATTAACTTCATATTTTGTAAACAAGAATCTCTATTTTCATGCATGTTTATGTTATCATCAATATAATAAGAGCATCTTATGCCCATCTTGCGAAAAAATGCATATACTGGTTTAAGAACTTTAGTGAAACAATAAGGTGCTGAGCTTAGTCCAAAACACAGACATACAAAAGCAAACAGTTGATCTCTCCACTCAAATTTGAGGTATTTATAATCACTTTCAGCAATAGGAATAGACCAATATGCTTTCTTTAAGTCAAGACTAGTGAAAAAGTCATTCGGTTGTACTAATTCTAAAACAAAGGGAAAAGTTTCTTGTTTAAATTTCTCATAATGTATAAATTCATTTAGTTTCCGTAAATTTATTATTGGTCTATAATCACCATTGGGTTTTGACACAAGAAAAATATTTGAAATGAATTCATTACATTCGTGATTAGAAGTTATTATTACACCTTCTTTTAACATGTTTCTCACTTCTTTATCAATCAACAACTTTTCAGACTCTGAAAAACTTATTTTATTTGGAAATTTCTTTTGACAAGGAGATTCAACAAATTTAATTTTGTATCCCTGAACTGTTTCTAGCACCCATTTATCGGATGTTAATTTTGACCATTCATCATAACAAGACCGCAATCTTTCAGAATTACTTTGTCTTACCTTTGCCTTGGCCTTGAAGACATCACCGTGTCAGTTAGTAGTCTGATTTACTGTTGAACTTGTTGTGGGTACATTCTTCCTAGTTTTAGGTGGAAAATCATGCTTGTAACCGAACTGACCGTATGTTGACTGCTTGTTTGTACTGAAACCACGGCCATATGGTGTACCACGACCTCGCCATCTTCCACGTTTGCCCCTCATAGGACCCAGAGAAGTGGATTTTTGCGAGAATTTACCAACTCTGATGCTGGTTTCACATTTTTTCAACTCTTTACTAATATCATCACCAAAGAGATATGTTGTTACAGGCGTATTAATGTTACAAATACCCGAATACTTTTGTTTAATATAAGGTCTTAATAAGTATCTTCTGCGGACACTCATATTAAACTGGACCTGACCCAACATGGTCAATGAGTCAGCAATCAAAGTTTTGATTTCGGGAATTTTACCTATATGAGGTTTCAGTAATTTTGCCATTGACAAAATGGGGATCATACCTGCCGTTACCAGATTTTGAGTGTCCCTTAACAACTTGTCTGTAGTCTGAACCCTTCGGTTAGTTGCTAATTCACCCCAGATTTCTTCGTTCACTTTTGGGGGAGTCATGAAAGTACAATTTGATGGTACTTTGTATTTTGATACCAAATCATTTATGGAACACATCTGAGTGCACGAGTCATTTATCAGTTTAGCCAGTGATTCTGAAATTGGATCACCTCTATCAGGGGCTTTAATCTTGGCCTGCGGCCAGATATCATCATCTAACTCGTTCTCAGTATTATCATCTTCAAACAGAGAATTTGCAAAATTATTGGATAAAGAATTTGCTTCGGAAGTAACTTCCCTAGCATTGCAAAAAGTAGATCTACTTTCAGTTTCATTATCGCAAAATTCATGATTTTGAACGGATTCAGATTCAGAATTATCCGACCTACCTTCTGTATTAGAAGTTTTCAGCCCTAAAACAGATCTCAACTGATTAACGTTTTCGGTACTTAAGTTATTTAAGTCAATAACATTTACCTGCCGGTTATTACCGCTTGACTCAGAAGGCTGCAAAATGACAACATCGTCGCCATTGTTATTTTCTCCGGGACTGTCAACACGTGGTTGATCATGTGACTTATCATAACGCTTCGATCTACTCCGGACTTTACCGTCTTTTGCTACTTTTGTCACAATAGACCTAACTCTATTTGATTTTGGAGAATTGTTAGGGGAAAAACCCGAAAAACTCTCTTCGGAGGAAGAACTTCCAAAAAGTGACAAGACATCGTCTTGCCTACCACTTCTCTTGCGCGTTGACATCGTCAAACGCTAAGTCAAAAAATAAGTGGGCGTGGAAAAGAAAGCTCGAGACAAACAACTCGTAGCTAAAACAAAAAACAAATAGTGTAAAAAACACAAAACAAGAACAAATCAAAATTCAAACATTCCAGCCCGAATAAACGAAACAAAAAAGCCTTCACAAGGCCACGTGGTCACTTACCCAAAAACTTCTCTAAACATTCACGCGACAGGGTCGCTAAAATGACTATGAATTGCACGTGGAATTGTCCGAATTTATATACTATGTGGTCACGTGATATCAGGTCATTTTTGTTGACCTGTAAAAAGCGATGGTTCTCTATGGGTCACTGAAGTGATATGCTTGTATATGAGAGCTGAAGGCCATTGAAAATAATGGCAAAAAGAAGTACTGGCCCATTTTATGAAATAAGTACGAGCAACTTTCACACAAATTGGAAAAATTAAGATATATCAAAATGTTACATTTAAAAATTATTTCCAGGTTTACTTGTCCTGTAAACTAGTACATGCTCCAAATATTTGAAAAAAATTAAACTTAAAAGGTTGAAAGTAAAGTTTGTTGCCAAGGTTTGCTGCCATGAAGACATTAAGCATTTTTTTATGTGTGGAAATAATCTTGCAAAAAGAAATAGAGATGTCAGTAGTTTTTTTTTCCATTTAAGATACAGTGCAATATATCAATATTGAGCAAGTATTTTAAATCAACCAAGGAAATATGAATTAACGAGTAATACACGTCAACACCAGAGCAAGTTTACAATATTTTATTTGTGTCTACTAGTTTCGGTCTATACGACCTTCATCAGGACAATTTTAATAAAAATTTTGTCTCTTAAGGTGGTAAAAAAACGGCTACGTTATATGACTTATGTTACTAAATATAGATATATTGTTACTTAAAATAGAATCAATATTGGCAATATGCCAATAAATTATTTAAATGCTGGTCTGTATTATTTATAGAGTTCTTAATTGTTAGTGAAAAGTCCATATATTCTATTTACATTGATTATAAGTTCATTGTCCGAGTTAAAACAAAGGTTCTCATCCTGACAGATGGTTTCAGAGCTTGTGCTGGGGCTTGCCGGTATTGGTGATATAGGGTTCGGTATGTTGAAGACCATTGTTTCTGGATTCTGTTTAGCGGTGATGTTCTCGTTCTTATGGCTATGTGTTGTTCCTGAGTTTTTTTTCTTAATGGTTGGTGTTCCAGTTTCGTTAATGACGATTCTAAATTTGGGTTTTTTCTAGAAGAATTTTCATGTTAGTGTTGCCATTCTGTTGTTTGATTGTATCCAGTTTGTTTTATCGTTGTATTTCAGTTGTATTAAATGTGAGTTCTTCAAATCCATGTATTTTACGGGAATGTGTTATAAGATTGTCTTTTCTGGCATACAGTTTTTTACACCATGAGCATTCGTATTTGGTGATGGTATCCTTGTGTGTTTTCTTGTGTCTTTGTTTTTGCCATCTATTATATGTTGCCTGGCCGCATATTTCACATAGGTGATGAATTGGACGAGCTTCAATAAAGTTGAGTTGATCAAGTATTTTAAAGTTAGAATGAATATCTGTAACACTTTAGAGATAATTAACTTTATGGTAATGGTTAATCAGGACAAAATAACTTGAGTTAAAACAAAGACCACTTTGTTAACAGTAAGTTAATGATTATATGACCTATGGATATGTCCGGACATAGTGAAAGTTAACAAGTTATATCAAGCGAGTACATTTTAATTAAAAAGAAGTTTTTAAGAAAATGTTAACAAACATAGATAAAATGGTTTTGATAATAGTACCACAACTGTCTTGAGAAGTTAAAATGTAAGGCAAGAATGAAAACTGCCATATCAATGACTTGAGATCATATTTTACAACAACAAAATCAAAGCACTGAATGTACTGATGGGGAGGCTATGAGAGAATGTTTCAGACTTATAGTGTCTTTTCTTTTTGCTTAAAATATGCTACCAAAATAAAAAGATATGCACATTGCGCTATTTATCCTTACTGTTGTGTTCAACCATTCATATATATGGTTAATGTGGTTGACTATTCATTTTGTTAATATTCCAGAACATTTCATTGAGGTCTACATTCGGATTGTTAATCATACAAATTTTGAAAAACCTAAACTGTCAATAATAAATGACATACCAGCAAGTATGACGACTGTTCATTATCAGATAACAATAACATTTTACAACTGACGGTTCCTTATCAAAATCACAGGAACTTGAAATTCTATCAAATAACCAATATTAATTATAATATCCAAATATACCCCCTATATACTATAAAAAAACACAAACACAGGAATTTGAAATTCTATCAAATAACCAATATTAATTATAATATCCAAATATACCCCCTATATACTATAAAAAAATGTTATAGTATATAGGGGGTATATTTGGATATTATAATTAATATTGATTATTTGATAGAATTTCAAGTTCCTGTGTCAAATATTCTAGGACTGTTCATCATAAATACTTTATGTCATTTTAATATTATTGAATGATAATAACAACTGCAAGTGATGCAACATTTTTATTGAACATAAAAATTATACACGTTTAGATGTACCATAATTGAGATCAATAAGATACTGTCTTGTGATGAGTATTAATATTCATGCTCTACGGACAGAAGGTTGTCTTCTCCAGAAGCAAATCTCGAATAAAATCACGTTTCAGAAAATTATTCCCATTTCATTACTGACGGCGTCGGATAATATTAAAGCTAAATATTTCTTGAAAAAATACATATCTGCAAAGCTTATTCAAAACTGAATCAACCTAAGTGAAAATTGATCAGGAAGTTATATCTTCTTTTTTACCGCAACACTCAACCAACTAATGGTAGTTAATCGATAGCTTGTGTATTTTTAAACCTCACTAGCTTGAAATATATACTGCGGAAAATCTGTTTGTTAACAGGGTGTGCGGTTATTACGTAGGGTTTTCCCTGTCGACCATTTCCTGCAAATAGATGAGAACATCGAAGCCGTCAGTGCTATGAATGATGTTATAAATGGCGTGTTTTGGAAGTTTTTGTTGAAACTTCTCCAATTTCCTCCAGAGGCGTGCACGTCGCGGAGAAGGCACACGGAAGGACATAGTCAAGTCATCATAAGTACCAGAGGTGATTGGTTGACCTGTCGTGACTTACTCTGGAGGTTTGGCGCTAATAGATGCCGTTTTTGTTGTCGTCAGTCAGAAAGTTGATGCTTGACGGTATTGTCGTCTCCTTTACCACCAAAGAACGAAGAATGGGCTTCCAGGAAGAATCTGCTTGAAAAAGACGTCCCAGATGCTATAATCTCGGACATATGGTTATTCCGGCGCCGAGTATAAATAAACTTAAAACACACTCACTTTAGTTGAAAACAAAACAAAAAAACAACAACACATTTTCTGTAGTAATTTTTCAAGTGTTGTAAAATAAATAAGAAATTCCTCTTATGCCGCGATTATTTTTAGAACACAAACATAAAAGTTCTTTTTTTATTTTCAAATAAACATTAATCACTTCAGCGCGCGCAAATATCGTTTTCAAATTAAAGTTTCGTAAGATATGTTAATGACTTCCCGATGCTCGACTGTAAGTAATTTGTATATGTATGCGGTTTTTTTTTTGTTTTTGTTTTTTTAATTAAAGCTTCTTATTCTTTAATATTTTTTATGTATCTCATAATCTGTATTGAAAATTTGAATTTTATTACACATGGACTATCAAATTATGATGTATGCCCTAGAATTGAATAAACTTTCTAATTACACAATACGGGGTCATACTGATCTTTGCGTCTTTCTCTGAAATAATTATTTCTTTGTTAAAACATATTTGACCACATATTTCTGTCAATTAACTGTTCACTTTACTTCCGATTTTTGTTGTACGGAAACACATGTTTCTATTTGTGTTTTCTAATCAATTCGAATCTATAATCAGTTTAATGGGATCACCACCGGGTAAACGACTACTAGGTACTTTGGTCATGTTTTTTACCCCAAATATTTGAATGTTTCTATTGGGATTAAAATGAGCATAGTTAAATAAACAACTGGTTGTATAAATCCCTGACCTGTCTAATTCTAATTATGAGATCAGTGAATATATAAGACTTTCACTACAAAATATTCCTAAACAAAAGAGCACATGTTAAATTTATTCCTATACAAATAAAAGATCAGAGTAGGGATCTGTCAATTGCCAAATATACTTTTATGTTAAAAGTTTGATTAATGAATTATGTAAGATGAAAATATAAGTATTGCTTTTTTATTTTGCTAATGTAAAATGTAATATTGTGCTGGAATTTTGTCGGAAGGTCCTTATAGGGGTTTTGTAGTTAAATAGTTTTTTTTCGGCGATAATGGTTCAAGAATATAATGTTCAAACTATATGCTCATCACCATCAGTGAATTTTTAGTTAAATGTATGCAAAATATTTACTAACAGCTATGATATAGCGGTTTATGACCGTTTTCCGCGTACAGCCTCCTAAGGTGTACTAATAAGTTAGTTTTCCTTAGTTATCACGCAAGCATGATCCATGTCTCTGATGTAAGCGACAGTTTACAATTATTTGTCTTTAAAAAATATTAAGGACTTTAAATGGTTTATAACAACAAAAGAACATGCATGATATTGAGAATACGGCATTGTATATACACCGGTCTCAAATATCGTCAGTAAGACCGGTGTACAAATGGAGAATACGGTGTTGAAACGTTCTAGTTAATGACCCGTCATAAACAGTTGGTCGCTGCGTAGTAATTGGAAAATTGTTATCAAGAATAATAAAGAATATTTGCCACTAAATTAAAGCATTTACTTACAAATTTTCATTTATGCTTTTTGTTAAAAAAATATTGCTAAAGTTATTATTTTGAAGGGTTTTCATACCAGAACTATTTATTACAGACGTACGTATGCCTAAACCTGATTACCGCGGCAGTATGACGTCACGGAGTAGTGATTTAAACAAAAATCAAGAATTTTTCAGAGAATTATTATCTTTACAAATTGCAGATATGAAATTAAAAGAATGAAAATATTTTCATATTGTAAATGTCTGTGATGAGTGATGAGTCAGCTTAGAAAAGATCAAGGTACTATTTTTTGACCTGATTACCGCGGCAGTGACCTGATTACCGCGGCAGTAAGATTTGACGAACAGTTATTAACATTGGGTCGGCATAGCCTCCCCAAAAAAACATTAAAAGTTGCATGCAATCAATGCCATATGAGATTGCACTTTCCACTGCCTGGTTTGAATGGATGTTTATTGAAAATTAATATTTTAATGTTTGTGTTTACAGTTCTCTTGTATTTCATGTTAAGTACACAGGACTTCTGAAATAGAAATAAAGTTGTCATGTTATTAAATAATATTCATTATTAATAAGTACATGGTAACCAAATGCAGTAACATCAATATTGTGCAACACATACTAAATTCAGTACATTTTTTTGACTACTCTTACAGTCTTCATTTTCATTTGAAACAACAGATCCTTAAAAGAAAACATCCGATTTTGCCAAGGATCAAAGGTGATACTTTAATATACTGGCTGAAAATACAATCGATTTTAACAGCAATTTAACTGATGGTTTGGATCGCCAATCGGTTAATAATGAAAACCCTGCAGCATGTTAACTGAAAATAAAATGTTATATTTTCAACTACCAAAAGGCAAATGATTTTCAATTACATTAAGAATATCCAAACAGAATAAGATATACGTCTTATAAAAAATAATGTAGTTTATTAAATCATGATTTGTTCGATTCCAAACCAAAGGCTTGGACAATTTTAGTTCATGCAATAAGACTGTATATGTCTCATCCAATATGTTATCTTACAAATCTTGTAATATGAAGGAAATTTATTACAAAAATCATCTTTACCAGGTTTCATTCTCTGTGGACAATACTCTGTGTTTCATCACATCTTGATGTGATTGAAACACTTGTGCCCTTTCTCACACAGTGTGGCCAAGTTCACATCTGGCTCATCAGGTTTGGCACAAGCCTGTGCCAACATTTCTGATGACACTGAAGCTGTAAGGTCATCATCTGTTAAAAGTTCAGCTTTGTCTTCATTCACCATGATGCCAACTATTGTGTATTGATTGGTGGTGACTGGTGGAGCAATTTGCTATGAAAATAAGAAAATAGAAACATTCATGTATAGACTAATTTTTCTTTTAATCTGTTGACCAGTTTTTATTTTTTGACATAACTATGAGAAAAAAAGGATTTTTACCGTTTTTTAGAATATGCTCTTCTCTTAGACAGTTCATGATTTACAAGTTTTGAGATAAGCCATAATCGACATATGAAGTTTCAATTGTTTTATAAATCAGTGGATGTTTATGTAGAAATATTATATGTTTCAAGTGCAAAAAGATTTGTAGTACATAGCAAAATTAATAGACACTTAATATTCTTTTTGTAATGTAACTGTGTTCAAAGGAATAGTTTATAACAGTGACAGGGAAGTACCTGTAGAGCCATGCATTTTTAATTAACAAATGAGAGCACATCAGAATTCATAAAATAAAAAATAACTGCAAACAGCATTGCTCCACTTTTATTGGAGCAATTCTTTAATGCTTATAAAAAATTCAATTTAGATGGCTTCTTTAATGCTTATAAAAAATTCTATTTAGATTGCTAAATTGAAAACCTTGATAAAAACCCAACATCTATAAAGGAAACAGTTTGAATGTTTCGTTCTTAAAATGGAGCATGATAGTTTATAATGCTTAATACAAAACCTTACTTGTTGAAAAAGAAGTCACAAAATTAATAAAAATTACCGTCATTCTACTGAAGTGAGTCGAACTCACTGATGTAACCTCACAAAACCTGCTTGTTAGGCAGTTTGTTAGTTCGATTCACCGCTAGGGCTCTCCACAGTGTGGCCTTAATTTCCCCTGTGGAATCTTGAAGAGTTATGGTTTTTATTGTTACATCTTCATTTCTAACTGTAACTTTTTTGGGAGCATCTTCTTAGAAAAGACAAGGAAAAGGATGTAAATGTTATAAAGGAAAAAATTAATTTATATTATAAAAGGTAAATAAACATGTAAAAGTTCAAAATTTTATTATTTTGTACTGTATCAATAACAGACTGCTGAACATTTAAAGTAAGAGATGCTATCTATCAAAATATTAAAAAATGACAAAATGTAGGTTGTGTCAATAGCTCCAAAGTGGGGCTAAAAGTTTATCATTAACATATAATTATAAATTCATTTCTACCTGATTTATCTAATACCTCGGATGGAAACTCTTGTCCTCACTGGTGAGAACAACGCAGCTCCAACAGAAATCACTGCTGCCATTGGAGGCCGGACAATTTCTGTTGCCCTTCTGAAGAGGTCTTCACAGACATCAATTGGTGATGTTGTGAAGACCCTACTGTCAGTGTTCACCATTAACAGGTGTAGGCTCATTTTTTTCCCAATGTTCCTCAGCATTACTGTGTTGCCAACCTGCAAACAAGTCTATGCCACTCGTGAGAAGCTCACTTGATGATATAAAATTTCATCTTACACACAAACAAACAAATATTCTCTATAGATTTGCATTTTTTAAAATAAAAACATGTCTAGTCACTTCCTTCATTTGCTTCAGGTAAGGTCTTGCTTTCCTTCCCCCATCGCGGTCCCGCGCCCCAGCCAGCCACTTTGAAACCTCTATTTCTACATCCTTCCTCGTTGCAGTTTTTTGTCGGCAAGTTCCTTTGGATACATTCTACAAAACAAGCATCCTTACCCTTAAAGAATGAAATGAAATGCAGTGAAATGTAGGTATTGAAACCATTCAAAGGTCATAAGTCACCTTGTAGCATTTTGAGCAGTATAAATTGGAATATAAACTAATTCTTGTATGTTTTAACAAATATATATGTTTGTGTCCCGGTTTTACATAGCTTTTAACAATATTTCTGTGATATCTCTGCAGTCAGTTGTAAGCTGAGATCATCTTATCGGTGTATCAGTGAAGAATGTTAAGGTAAGCAAATAACTTGCTTTACAGGAAGGTGATTTCTGCTTATATTATGCATCACAACACAATGCATGGGATCAAAACCACACAGCATGTAAAATATTCTCTTATTAATTTCCATAAAAGCTAGTCAAGCATTTTCCTTCATTAAAGCGATACCCGAAGACACAATAACAAGATCTTGGATAATATATCTATTTTGAAAACCTTACTTAAAGACACCACTTTGCAAATTCGTAAAATATCACTTACTATACAATACATTCAGTATCTAGAGGCCCCCAAATTTTTTCTTCCTTTTCAGCCCCTTCATATTGTACATTCTTGCCAGTTCATTTGACATGGTTTCTTTCATCAAGCGGTCAACAGTTTCCCACACATCTGCCCCACCAAACATTGAGAGGAACCGCACCTTAAATAAAGCAGAACATAAACTTTTTTTAATGTTAATTTTAACACTACTAAGTTTCAAAATTATATAATGTGCATTTGTGATGGGCTGCAAGTCACCAAATGACAAATAATTGTCAACTGGACCTCAAAAACATGATCTGCCAAGAAAACTGTTAGGATTGACAAATTAAAAGATCTTTCCTCATATATTTACAGCCTAGGACAACACCTAAGTGACTTGTGCCTTATGTTTGTCCCCTCCACCGAGTGTTATGGGGCACATTATCATTGTTGTTTTTTTTTTAACACAAGAGTTTATACAATATCAACAGAATAATTTTTGATATTATAATAACAGCTCAATTCCTGGATTTTGTGGGTACTAGTCATTTTCCTGGTATTTTGAAAGCTGCCAGCATTTTGATTAATGAATCGACTGTCTTGTCCTAATAATCAATGTTGAAAACGAGGCCAACTGCCCATGTCTTGTGCTCATGGCTATTATAGCATATCTAAATAATAACTGTGTCAATATGAATAAAAAAATTAAAACATGCCAGTTTTTAATTCCGAAATTAATGCAGCAAAGTGTTTGCCCACTGTGCAATATTTTCTAACATAAATATAGCAGAATGATAATACATTATCATCAAGTGCTCACCACAGACCATTATGTTATTTCGCATTTAAGCCAGTGGATATGGGGTATACTTTTTTACAGTTACTAATGGAGCAACATACATGACTAACATTATGCTTACCACAGATGACAGCTTTGTCTGATCTCCCAGAAGCTCATCGAATGTTTCCATCTGCTCAGGAGAACGAATAGGAAATGAGATATCTTCCGGAAGCTGCAGCGGTTGGTCATCTGCTGCTGACCTTGACAACAATCGCTGCATCATCCTCTTAATTTCACGATTCTCCTCCCACATTGTCTCCAAGACTTGGAGAATCTGTGTAACAGCAGCTGAAAAAAAGGATTCATAATTCTAGGCCATGTACTTTTAGAGATATGTGAATTACATATAAAAAAAATCCAGTATTTAAAATTTTTCCTTGGCTTTAACAGTAATTAACGCTAAAAGCTCAAAAGGATTGTTGAGTGTGCAACTGGTCACAAAATGTGAAAATGATAAGAAATCATGAATTAAAGTTAACATATTTTTGAGCTAGGGATGTCATTTGGTGAAAATAACATTTTTGGCTATTCCAGGGACCATATTAGCTTGAGTAATTAATCCTTTTCTTTTTATACAAAAAAAAAACTAGAAATGTGTCATCATGCCACGGATGCCCCCGCATGCAGCCAAAATTTCAGATGTTATAATATTTAGTTCCAAATTTGTTTGCACAAATTATTGTTTTCATTTTAAGTTCAAAGCCCTTAAAACTTTTCAATGTTAACACAAACCATTTCCATACAATGTTCAAGGCACTGAAATTATTCAGTCTTAACCTTTTGAAAATAGCATATTTCATATTTGTAGCCAAAATAATGGCTACATACATTTCCACAAAAGTATGAGTGCTGAAACTGAAAGTTCAAAATTATTCCAATATTCAAGAAAGATAAGTTTGTCCAAAATCATTGAACCACGACCAAATTCAAACTCAAACTGCTTATTCCTAAGATGTATCTATATTATTTTCAAAGTGAAAAAACATAACTCTGCCAAAAAAATCATCGAACCATGACCAAATTCCAACTTGACCTGCCCATTCCTTTGACATATCCATATGTCAAATTTATGTTGAATATTGTTATAAATTCTTCTCTCTCGTAATTTATAATTTCTACTACTTCCATAATTTCACATATTTGCATAAAATAAACAATAACTGTTTTCCGTTTCATTTCACCATTTATTTATTTGAAAGTGTCCTAAATTTCTAATCTACAATTAATATTTAAAGTTACAGAGTTTTTCTTCCTCACACATGGTTGATAAGTCACTGAGAATTTTATATCTAACTCTTAAGATCTCATTCTTGAAACTTCAATCTAGAATCCTGAATCTTGACTCTAGCTCTTACAATCTTACTCTTGCATTTTGAATCTTGTTCTTCAATCTTCAATCTAGACTGCCCCTAGAAAATCTTGTCCCAGTATTTATATGAAATACTTTGACTTTCCATATTTGGAGGTTACCTTAGTGTTAATTGACAAATCTAAGCCTTCTATATTTATGACGACAAGTGTTGATCAAGTAACTGTACCAGAAACAAACAGACTGATTCCTGGAATATTTATGATGGTAACCAATGATTGAGTTCCCTAAACACAACAATTACAGGCCTCCTGTCCATTAATTTATGCAGGTACCTGTTGACAGAGTTACCACACTAAAATCTCCCAGACTGATGCACAGTCTAGCCCCAACAGATTTATAGTAATAAATAATGACAACAATGAAGTCTCAATTCTCATACAAAATCAATCATTAAATCAAACCTTAACCAGGTGCCTTGCTAAAACTACAACACTCCCCCAACCTTAAAAAGCTTAATTGTCTCAATTAAGTTAACAACACCAAACAAAAGTATAGAAATGAAACAAAAATCAGTGACTATTCAACCAATCTTACTCCCAAAATGAATAGAAGTTTAACAATAAAACATTCTCAATTAACATATAAACACTGCAATAACTAAAATAAGCATTATTCAAATACGAAATTCTAAGAAAATACTAAATCTACAGAAATGTTACTTCTGTTAGCGACAATTTTTTTCTGACTACAATTATACATTGAATACTCAAAACAAATAAATTAAAGTTCTCAAACAGTTGTTCAACTTTTAACACCATGTTTTAATATCAAAA